GAGATTCTTTCAACGCTTCGCTCAATGAGCATTTTGAATGGTTATAAATATTAATGAATATTATTGAAGGAGTAGTCCCAAGGCGTAGCTCTGATATTACAGGGAAGAATCCTCAGATGGGTGAAGCAATATCTTCTCAGGGAAACAGTAGTTTTATGGTATTCATTTTATATACAAGTAACTAGAGTGTTCCAAGGAACGCATGTGTCGCCTGCTATGTAGCTTCATTAATGATGTGAACAAATATAAGTGTAGTTAGCTATTTATTCAGACTGCGATAGAATCTCACAATCAAAGAAAATATGATTCCCAACCCTAAAATGAATAATTAAGTTGAATTAATTATAAATAATAATTATTTATCATTTTACATGTATTAATACGTGTTTCAAAGTCTTTACTCCAATTGTCAGTCTACACGATCCAATGTGGGATACTAATCCCGATGTTTTTTCATAGTCTTTGAATATCAGTTCCTGTGGTAACTGAATATCGAAAAGTTTCAAAGTACAATATCATGAGCTCATAGATATGTATAAGTGCTAATTATAAACACCCCGCCTCTCAAAATTCAAAAGACTTACGTTAAATTAAACTGTACGGGGTATTTTTTGCAAAGTAGGTCAAAGGTCAAGTAAATTGTAACGCTGGTATTTTTCATGATGTTTATGACAATCAGTGCACATTCTAAATAGCATAGACTTGCTTCTTAAATGTCAAAAATATGCTGTATATTGGTACTATTCACTTTTTGTAAAGTAGGTCAAAGGTCATGGGTCGCGAGGCCAGTAACAACGGCAATTCACAAAAGCCATAGTGCCAAGCAATATATGTGCAAAATATCAAGTCCAGATCTCTTACAGTTCTTGAGATACAAGGTGTGACAGACACAGACAGACAGACACCGGGTAAAGTGACCCCTTAATGCCGCTCTGCTATGCAGGCGACACAATAACAGTAGAGATATACTAAATGTAACTATTAAAAATATTTGATTGAATTGACTATATAATTGTCCTCATTATCAAACTCTGGTAAGACAATTCATTGGATTGCTTGGAATAATTTCCTTGAAAAATTTTCTCTCTTATCAGAAGAACATTTCACCTTCAAGCGTTTCCATTGCAATTGAAATTGATAGTAAACAAGAAATGTTACATAAACTGCAATTGCATATTGAAAGTTGCATCAAAGTCCATTTTTTTTAAAAGGCTTTAGTTCCTTTAATCAATATTTTAATGAGCTAAAAAGTACTTTCTTCTCATTTAACCACAGCCAGAATGGGAGAGGATCGTATATTGTTGGCTGTGGTTTGCACCGATGCAGTGACCTTATCAAAGATAGTGACCCGTCTTCTACCTAGGATGCATTATCTATCCAAGCTTGATGATTTTAGAACTAATAAGTTTTCATTGATAAGTTGGACAGGGTTTTGCCGTATTTGGCCATATCTTCTTCATTAATGGTCTCACTGACCCAATTTTTAAGCACAATAAACCTTGCACCCAAGATTCATCAGCTGACAAAGATTTATGTCTCAAGGCCTGTATTGGCGTTATGAACTGGACACAAAAACCGACAGACATTTGGATGGACTTGATTGCCATTATATAGATTTTTTTGCAGAACACCATAAGGATTTCACTGTCCTGACGCTCTCCATGTCGAGAAGTTAAAATAAATGTCACATTGTCACCACATAAAAGGAATAAACGTCGCTGAACTGCAATACACATCGCCGACGTCTAACGGGTTCATAAAAGGGGACAGACCGTCCATCTGTCCTTTTAACGAATATTTGCTTAAATAGCGTCTTTAACAAATTGAAATCGAGCATTCATTTGCATTTTTTAAAGAGACCATTGAAGTTGAGATGATTATTTTATTCCATGATAGCAAATTTCTCCTTTATGCCGTAGAAAATGTAGTGCATGGTCATTGTAAATAACTGGATTTTTACGTATGATCCTGGTCATCCTAAGTTTTAAGTATATAAATTGATTTTTATTCTTAGAATTCTATTGTACAAGTTGAACTTTCAATTTCAAGTATGAATCGATCATAAATATTCAGTAAGCAGTTTTCTATGGAAGTTCATTAAATAAATAAAAAAAACTATATATTTGAGCAAACCTGTGTATGTAAAAGATATGTGAAATATAAAAAGAAAACCTCGAAATTTACGTAGGAAATGCGAAATATAAAAAAAAAAACAAAAAAAAACGAAACCTCGAATTAATATAAAGCAAATACAAAATATAAAAACAAAATTTACATATTTATATATACAACAATGGAACAATAATCCGCACTTTATGTAATTATGCACCAACTCGTATTTCTTTCTAATTATTTCTCTAACATGATATTTTTTTTACACCAAAATTCTAAAATTGTTAACTTTATTATTATTATTTATTTATCTATTTATTTATTTATTATTAACTTTCGCCTCCATCTCTCAAAATCTGGTCCTTCCTCATATTCGAACGTCCGCTGGAAAAACACCGCGCACCTGCAACTCTCCCCTCCATAAAATCCCCGTTTCTTATATTTATAAATGTTTATCAATGGGCGTATTTTAAGTTTATAATTTATCTAAATTAATTTGATTATGGATACAAGAAAAAACCATGGTGAAAATTATTTTCAAAATTTCTCAGTTGTGGGGCCAAAGGTAATATTGTAAGTTTTTTTTTTTTTTTTTTTTTTTTTTTTTTTTTTTTTTTTGTAAAACAGTGAACAAGAAAGGTCGTCAAAAGGAAGTTGATATAAAGTAATGTATAACCAAGAAATGCACAAAAAGGAGACACATTTTACTTATTTTATCAATGTAAAAATCAAATGCTCATCTACTTAATTAAGTGTATTATATTTAGTTATTCAGTCATGTTTCAATTATACAGTTTATTATACATATATTTACTTGTGTAAATAAATAAATAAACACTATTAAATGACACAATCCTGCTGATTCTGGGAACGCAGTACAGGAGTACGATCACCGGTTTCCCCCCTGCCAGGAGTTAAACTGTATATCATGTTGGACAGCTGAGCCTCAAGGTTTTGGTTTTTTGTTTCGCATTTCCTTTACATATTTCGAGGATTTGTTTTTTATATTTCGCATTTCCTATATATATTGCGAGGTTCTGTTTTTATCAAATATAGAGATAACGAACAGTATTCAACTTCAAAGTCCATTAAAACAATACAAATCGGGAGCAGAGCAAACACGGACTTCCAAAAACATCAGAGGTGGGATCAGGTGCCATAGAGGAGTGAGCATCCCCTGATGACCAGTCACACCCTCCGAGTGCTCCTGGTCAGGATCGGGAAATAACGGAAAAATCCGTCGACAATTCAGTGTGTAAATAGTGGCCTAACAATTAGTATGAAAAACGTCAGTCAGCATATGACTTAATGGTAGATTGTATTTGCTGACAAGTTCATTGTATCGACCATAGAACTTACGAAATGATGACTTTAAACGAGACTGTTGATATTCTTGTTTCATCGACTTGTTTGTCAATAGCTTACCTCGTTTTAGAAATTGTTCATACGTAGAGCATGCCCTTGCGTATCGAATCAACTGAGAGATATGCACCCCATATGCAGGTGATAAGGGTATATTGCTGCATAAGTAAGGGAAGTTAACGATTGAAAAGTAAAAGTCATCACTTTTATCATAAAGCTTTGTTGTTAGGTTACCATTAACGTCCTTTTCTAGTAAAATATCCAAATTCGAAACAGATGTGTCAGACTCTGTGGTATCTTTTATTTCAAGCTCACAGGGATATAGTGTCGACATATCAACGGAAATAAATATTGTTAATTGACAATACGTAGTCGATATATCTAAATGTCGCGTTGAAGGCCACAGCAAGAAATTTCTCTTTCGCATTTCTTTTATATATTTCGTTTTTATATTTCGCATATTGTTTATATACTTTATGAAATTAGTTAATTGAATCATTTTTAAAAGGAGTGCCGAATTGCGTTTTGACGTACCTTTGTAAAATTGTGCTAAAACCTTCAAAAAGCCTGCAGCTTACTGTCGGGGATGAGCAAGGATTATGGGTTTAAATCTTGTTTACTACATGTAATAATTTAAAATTGGAATTCGGGTTAATTGAAAAGTCAGATTGTCAAAAGAATTTTTTTAAATGAATTTTCTCTGTAGAAGACATTCTAATTATGTATACAATATGCCGACTATAAAATCTTGTTAAAATATCACCGGAAAATTCCAGATCATATACATTCTACATATGCACATGTGAAATACAGAGTCGAATATTCTGACATTTATGTTGACAATTATGAATACGATTTCCCTTCGTCATGGTTGCAATCGACAGAAAAGATTGTTATTTCATGCATACACGTAGGTAAAGTAGTGCGGGATATATACTTTCTAAAGCCTTTCAGAGGTTTATTATATACACTGGATATTTTTTCGAAGAATAAGAAGGAAAAAAATCTTAAGCACAAATTTAACGGTACTTAATACATAATATTCTAAATGCCTTTTATGCTATATTTGAGTATCTCTTGTAATCATTAGGATTTGCCAGATAACGCTGTATATTGCAGTTCAACGACTTTAGCATGGGAGAGAAGCGATCTCGGTAACTTCTTTCGATGCGGTGACAATGTGACGTAGTATTTAAACTTTTCCAGAAGGAAAGCATCAGAACATCAGAACGTCACGAACAGTGAAATCCTTATGGTGTTCTGCAAAAAGCTCTAAAACATTTCCATTATACATGCATGGGCACATAAAAATTTCAATGTATGTTTTATAATATACTAATATAAATTATCATTTATAAAATGAATACACTTACTCAAATCAGTTAATTTTATCCAGTATAACTATAATTCTTGTTCAATTTTTATAAAAATTAAAGGAGTCTTGTGTTACTGATATAATATACATATTAAAAAAAAATAATTTTAAGAGTTAATCTAAACATGTATACAAAAAATGAAAACATTACCATCTCCTACAGCAAAAGGTACATGTCCTGTAAAAAGAGAAATGTTTCAATTTAGTAATTAGATTACGAAGGCTGTGTCATGTTCAGTAAAATTATGGACATGGCATTTGTATTGAAATAGGCACTTGGCTAAAAATTTCAGCAAATCTTTATCTATCATATCTGAGGATATTGTGTTTTTAAAAAAAAAATATGGACGAATACAAAGGGATTTTATTATACTTAAATGTGGCCAGAGTATGGTCCCATAGCTCACTACCAATATATTAGGGTTTATCAATCAGAAAATGCCAGTTTGAACAAGTTTTTCAGGCCACCTGTATATATTTCTTATGCAGTGTGCTTTTTCATCAATGAAACAATAAGATCAATGACACAATATGTAACAAATTTAAACCTTTTTTCATTATACTTAAACAATAAAATGTCTTCATTTTTAGTACATGTACAGGAATAAACAGTTAAAGTACTGCAGGTAAAAAAATTTACATAACCCTAGGCAATATGTAAGTATTATTTCTTGCAAAAATATTGTATAGATAATGTTGTGGTAAAAAATTAACATATTTCAAGTCACTATGTATTATTTTGTCATTTTGACAATTTCAAGGCATATGCCTCATTTACTGCAGTTTCCCAAGCAATTTTAAATGGAAAGTGGTAAAACTACAAATGAAAAATGGTGACATTTGATAACATTAAGGTGCGCTGGAGAGCTATTCAGTTTTATATCATTTTAGTAAAGACAATTCTACAGTATTTAAACATATTAAATGACAACAGAAGATAAAAAATATTAAGATATCACTTGATCTTAGCATTCATATGGAATGACGATTTTTAAGATTTTTTTTATGAAGTTCCTTACTAGAACAATTCAGAAAATACAGACAATCAGCTACTGGCGAAAGTGAATGACGATGTCAATGCAGACTGTTGAAAAACTGTTTGCAAAATTGCCTATATGTGAATGAAGTAAGTCTTGTCTATAATGTACTTATCCTAAAAGCATGCAGATGATCTTATGTGTGTGCAAGAGTATCAAAGGCCTCAAGTGCATGCATCTGTTAAATTCCCAAACTTGTGAGAGGCTGATCCAACTATTTTTAGCAGGCATAAAACATAATGTTGGATTAGAAACTTTGACATTATCACACGTATGCCCCAAGGCAATGCCATATATATATATATATATATATATATATATATATATATATATATATATATATATATATATATATATATATATATTTGCCTTTTTTTATATGAGCATATATCTTTTTAAAAATTTTTATGTCTATTAATGAAAAATGTACTAAAGAGCAGTGAACATTTTAGAACACAATGTTGATTACTTATCACTCTAGTAGTCTCTATGACTTTAACCCTCATATTTGTCTATACATATAATTTTTCAAACTGTACCAGCAAATAGATTCGTATTTACTTACCTAATAATGCCAAACAAAAAAAATAGCAAAGGAAATCCATTGCCATCTACTCAGATGGCATACTTCCTTGGTAAATTAAAAGAATTCAGCTATTTATAGGGGGATCTGAGCCAAATGTTCGTACATCCGTAGGAAGAATAAAAAGAAGATTTGTCATAATTTAATGTAATGATGATTCCCTCAGCTTTGAGAGAGTCAAGGACAGATATCTTTTTAATTACTGCAATATTTAGATCTCCCTGTTGCCGTGTTTACTCTTGAAAAGGTTGATAAAAGATTTTGGGTGGCTCTGTTTGCAACAGACAGCCCCCCTTTAAATCTGTAAGTTATTCACTCTTATCTCACAAAGTCAAAGTTAAACATATCATTTCCACTCTTAAAGTGGATGTTTTTCTCAGTAGCAATTAAACTTATCAGCACAAAATTTTCCAGATATCCTGCTACCAAAAGGATGCAGTCACATTAATCTTTCATTACACAATATTTTTAGACAAACTGTGAAGTGACTCAAGATAAAATTTCACAGTAGATAAGACAAATGCAATCAAACTATGACAACACTGATATCAAATTCAAATTGATGAAATTTCAGAGAAGTTACTTCTACCCACCCAATCATCGTATTCCAACGATATATTTTGTTCCCACATTAATACTCCTTTAAAGGGAATTAAAGTGGCAATCCATGACATGTCTCATGACATTCTAAACAAACAGTTTACAGACAGAAAACATACTGGACAAATAAATTAAATATTCCAAGATACATTTGGATAATGTAACATTCTAAAAATACCTAAACAGACCTACATTGACTCCTTGGGGTATTTCTACCTTCACAATTTTGGTTCAAATGGTTCAAAGTAGAAAAAGTGCATTTATTTTCACTTTATACAGTTTAAATTAACTAATAGCTGGAAAAGATATACAGGTTGCCATATCTTTTAAAGATGCGAGACATAAATAAACAAAAGTATATTTCAGCATAAAAATCATACTCTTAGCAATATGTATTATAAAAATTACGCAAAAACTGGTTCAAATACATTTTTCTAATGTTGAAAGTTCCAAAATAATTGCTTCTTTATAAACATGCTTGAATTTTAAATATCAGGGAATCCATTTTACATTAGAAGTACAATAAAGAAAAGGCCTGAATGAAGATACATGAGAAGGAGTTATTGGCTTTTACAACATTTTTAGAGATTGAATAATTGATTATTAAATAAAGAATATATATATATATATATATATATCTATATCTATATCTATATATATATATATATATATATATATATAAAACATTGCTGTGACGTCATGCCTTTGTTCTTGCAGTCTAAAAATTTACCTGTAGTCGTCCGATAATAATGATTAGCAGTCCAATAATATATTATCGGACGGCAGTGATAACAAAATCGGACAGTAGTTAAAAAACAACAACAAGAGTGAAATCAAGGTTTAATTTGTCCAGAAACCAAAAAAAAGTTAGGGAGAAAAAGTTCAGGGTAAGCGAACGCGAGGAAATTAAGTTGTTAAAAATAGCAAATCCAAGAAGAAACTGGAGTCTTAAACTTCCTCAAAAGTAACACTTTCCATTCAGTTTTTTTTTTTCAAAGCGTTTTCGATACATCACTGGGAATAAGCCAATTTAAATCCATTTCTGATAAAGAACCAGTCTGCGAATCTCTTCATTTAACGAGGTTTGTTCGCCAATGACCATGATGACCGCACTTTTTAAACCCAAGATTTTCATTATATCATCCAATCAAAATTTAGATAAAAATCCGCATTATTACTTTAAATGCATTTCGAAGATATCATCCAACACTGTATCTGTATCAATGTCAAACGCACTTAATAAAAAAAAATATTCCGAATCATAAAGAAAATCCCTCATCACCTGACCACTGTCCATAGTTCCTGCTAAGCCAAACGACTGCCATTGAATGAATGAAACAAAAGAGTTCACTCAATGATTTTACTGTCTTCAAAAAAAACTTTCTCTTTTCTTTTGTCTGCTTATTAGATGGTTTCAGGTAGAAAACTACTGATGCCTGAACTCCTATTGTGTAATTATCGGACTCCTCCAGGTAACTTTTGGACATTTAAATAGCAATGTTTTAAGTAAGATATATGCCTCATACAATTATATATGTAAAAATATCAGACTGTTTTCGGCCCTAACGGGCCTCAAACAGTCTGATAATTTTACATATAGAACAGTATTCGGCATATATCCATTACTCATATATATATATATATATATATATATATATATATATATATATATATATATATATATATATATATATATATATTAAATTCTTTTACTTCACAATAATTTTCATTACACTTATTTCAAAAGCATTTTTCCAAGAGATATTTTCCAATTGGTTATGAATTTAATTTTTTGCAAAAACCTATGACATCACAGGAGGAAGGAAATTCCTTAAACAAGGACATTAGCAAAATATCTCCTAGAGTAATAGAATATTGATAGCACCTATAGGAAGTTTAGTTATTGCAAAAGAAGATGTTAACAGGACTCTAGAGTATAGATACTAAGACTTTTATGTATCGAGGGAGTTAATGGAAACATCTTTGTACTGATCAAATTGCTTACGGTGGCTGCAACATTATTACTGACAACAAACACGAACGATCACGTTACACGATCGATTTCGCACGATTAAACCTATTACGCGAACTTCACGCACAGGATTCTACACGTTACATGAACGATCACGATTGCAAACGTGTCACGCTATCATGATTTATGTTACGATTACCAACGAATTAAACAAAATTGAAAATCGCCGTTCATTGCCAGGTTAGTTTTTCCAAAGCGTGTGGAATTTTTTGCTGCGAGAACGGGGTGTTACGATGTCTGTGCGACAAGTACGATTTAAGTACGAACTGAGGCGACAGCACTACGAACTGGTTACGATATTTCCACGGTTATGAAGGATTAAACGCGGTTACATACGATACTCGTACGAAGGACTACGATATGGTACGATACATACACGATATTCCTACGACTAATGACGATTTCTTACGAATATACATGCAATGAAATGCACATAGAAGAAAGGGAGAGTTTTTTTTTGAAATTATTAAACATAAAAGTAAAGTTAATTGATCAGGGTAAAAGCTACAGTGTGGAGCTTTTGATTATGTTCAATCTCTTCATGAATTTATTGGACACGGTCTTTATAGTTTCTGTGACACATGCATTTTCAGTTTATTAATTTTTCTTAGCTTCTTTCCTTTTATTTTATGTGGTATTTTGTCTTCGACAGTGTTAACATCAGACAACGTCTGCTTACATAGTATTAACTCATAGTTCAATCGCACAGTACTTGTACAGCACTTACCATCAATCGTCATTTTTCGTATCATATTCGCGGGAAAGTCATACTAAGTTCCTATCAATTCGAAGAAATCTCGCAGTATCTCATAGGACACTCGCAGTAACTCGAAGGACACTCGCAGAAACTCGAAGGACACTCGCAGTAACTTGCATTGTACTACGAAGTTCCACGAATGTCGAAGATTTACTACGAATTTGTGTAC